TGGGACAAGAAAGTGAAGCTAGCTTTTCATACTTCATAGCTGTACTTTGTTTTAAGCAGTTCTGCAATGAAATATATAGTAATTTCAAGGTTTATGAATGTGGTTAAGGCACAACAGACTGCTAGATTTCTTTCTGTGCAGAGGGAGTCTCCTAAGCCTGGGTTTTCCTAAATTCTCTGCTCAAACAGATCCAGAGCTGCAGAACAATGAGGAGCAAACAAAAGGCACTGCAAGTAAGGAACAGAGCAAAGTTATGCAACCCTGACCTCCCTCTATGCCTTCTGTTCATTTACAAAAGGCTTTTCATTCCAGCATTTAACTAGATGGAGCTTATTCTCCAGTGAACGTTCAGGATTTGGTGTGTATATTCTCATTCCTGATTTACAAGGTTTATTTCTCCCAGTGGAAAGCTTAATCTATGCTATATGTTTAACAACAGCAGCGCTCATTTCCGCTGGAACAGATCTGGCATACCAGGTTATGCGGGAGGTGATAGTATCAGATAGCAAAAGGGGAAAAAAAAGGGCAAGAATTGTTTAATGGGCAGCAGCCAACTGTATACTGGGCTTCATCAAAAGGAGAGCGACCAGCAGGTCAAAGGAGGTGACCCTGACCCTTTAATCTGCTCTCGTGAGACCCTGCTTGCAGTACTGTGTGCAGTTCTGGCGTCCTTGACATACGAATGACATGGAGAGAGAGACCTCAGAGCAGCTTCCAGTATCTGTAAGGGCTTACAAGGATGCTGAAGAGGGACTCTTCATCAGGGACTGCAGTGGTAGGACAAGGGGTGATGGGTTCAAACTTCAATAGGGGAAGTTCAGCTTAGATATAAGGAAGAAGTTCTTTACTGTGAGGGTGGCAAGGTGCTTGCACAGGCTGCCCAGAGAAGCTGTGGCTGCCCCATCCCTTGACAGTGTTCAAGGCCAGGTTGGACAGAGCCCTGGGTGACATGGTCTACTGGAAGGTGTCCCTGCTTGTGGCAGGGGGTTGGTACTGGTTGATCTTAAGGTCTTTTCCAACCCAAACTATTCTATGATCTCTCCGTTGTGTGGTTGACAGGCAGGTGATACCCAGCAAGGAGTTCACAGGTTCAGAAAATCTCCATCTCCCCTTTCCAATGCAGGTGTGCATGCAGCTGTTTTTCAAGTGTAATTTTCTAGCATTAATTGTAGGACTAAGTCTGGTTATCAAGCTGCACCCTGCCTTCTTCACAAATGAGCCAAAAAGGGTATAAAGCAGCTGTTTGTCACTTCTATTATCAATTCACTCTTTAGATTCACATTACCCTTGGAAAGCTGATCAAACTGCAAGCAGAAAAGTTAAAGCTTTTACTAAGAACCAGAAGAAATTAAACACAAAGATGTGTCCAGTACAGAGACATGGATTGTTCAGGACCATTTTTCTGACTATAACCTGGAACTACACACTTAGAAGTTTTAAAACCCTTTATTTAGCAACACTATCATTTACCAGCAACTTCCTCCAGGCATTTAATTCACAATGAACATTTTCCTGCTTGCCTCAAGACATCACATCTGCCATTAAAAGCTTTACAACCTATAACTTCAATCTAGAAAGCAAACCCAACAAACCCCATCAACCCCCCAAACTAAAATAGCTGCTGCACTAAATGGCTTCCCAAAAATACTGCCTTCATTTTGAAGAGGAAAAATTCCAATAAAGGTACTCTAAACAGCCTAAATTCTTCTGTTACGATCCATACACTGTCCCTCACCTCTCAATCCAGAGGTCAATCTGTGCAGTTTATCTCCTGCTCATATGATTAGGAAGCACCACCCTCTGTTGGATTTCCAATTATGCTCTTAACTACTGGATGCTCTTCATCCATTTCTGTACCTAAAGGAAACCCCAAACTCTAGGAGGCACCCGTGTGCTCTCTTGCATCACTCATCTCCCAGAAGAGGTAACAACCTCAAAGAAACCCACATTTTACAGAACGAAGTATAAGAATTGTGAATACCAAGCTCACAAGGAGCTCAGCATGTGCCTGTAGGTGGGGAGGGCTTGGGGGGAAAGAAGAGAGCAATCCAAGTGAGTCACATCCAGATTATCTGGTCCACCTATATCCTGGAGAAATGATTCCCAGTCCTGTAAGTGTCCGCAGCTTCTACTAGTGACTATTCCTGGTGTGCTTTTGCATTTGCTCACAGCACTGTGTGTTCTTAGAAGTGAATTATAAAAAAGGGTCTATTACAACATTGTAAAAACACCTGCTTCAGTGATCTTAAACAGCACCAGCTTCATGCTTCTGTCCTGCAAAAGCACAGCTGGGCTACAGACACGAGAGACGGCAGAGAAGAGCACCGTTGTTACTACCTGTTCTATTTTAAACACCTTAAACAAATAAAACCCCACATCACAGCCTCATGTCACCCAAAGGACAAGGATTTCTTGGATTATAATGTCACTGAAGTCTTTAATTACTTCATCTTATGCTCACAGTGCTGTGTTATATTAACACACAAATCACTTTTGTATGTAACAGCCCAAATACAAGGTTGTTGCATTTGAATTCAGGAATTCAGTGTCATTTCAACCCTTTTCCAATCAGCCACAAAAAAAAAAAATAAGTAGTTGCAGAGACAACACAGATATGAACTACTGTTCTCTCAAAATCATCTGAAGTGGAGCTAAGTACTAGTCTCTACATTTCATACTAATCAGCTTAAGATCTTTACCTTAAAAGGACAGACTCATAATTAAACACAATTACACACTGCACATAAGCCACTGGTGCAAAACCCTGGAGCAAATCCAGAGGTACTTCAAATTTGAAAGCCTGAAGGCACACACAGGAAGAAAATAATCTTCAGTACTTCCAGGAACTATGTAATCTTTGAAAAATGCAAGAAGTGATGGAAAACGTTTAACAAAAAGAAAAATAAACCCAAAGACATAAACTAGTAGTGACACTGCTGGCAGAACCAGAAACTGATGAGCAAATCTGCTCTTCCGTACCTCTGGGTTACAGGTGTATGCTCATGTCAAAGGACGGGACGTAAATCTACCTCTTTGTTTTATGCAAGACAATCATACCTATTCAGGAAGAGCTGATGAGATGGAAAAGACCCAATTCTATGTTGCTGTCACTGTACTGTACCTGTAAGGCGGCCTCCGTTTCTCCCCTGCGTACTGAAAGAGATCATCAGTGAAGAATTTGGGTACTTTGTAGTCCTCCAAGAGTTTCCTGCGCTTGGGATGCTCTCCATAACTGCTGTCAAAGATGTAGAGTGGGCTGTCATCACGCGTGGTTTCCATATACTCAATGTAGTATTTCATCTTCATCTTCACAGAATAACCGTCATTGTCCTCCCCACACTTGAACTTCTGGTTCCTGTATTTGCGTTTCAGCCGCTCCAGAGTCCACTTCTCCTGGGCAGACCAGCCCACCTGAGCATTCAGCAGGACTACAGGCTTGTAAGGCTTCTCATACCGCTCCACAAACTCCTCCACTGTCAGCTGGAGTGCATCTGCCCTCTCCACATTATCCTGCGAAGCCACGAGAGGAATACAAAGCAGGTATTAGGCTAGACTGATGCCCTAGAACCATGCTAAGTCAGCGTGGAGGAGCTTCACGCTCACACTCTGCTCCATACACCACGAGGGTAGCAAGCTGTTTGTGTGCTATTTTAAGCTCCCTGAGGCTGCAGCCCTATTTCTCATGCACCCGTCCTTGCACATACCACTAACACCAGCAGCCCGGAGCCGTTCAGCACTCCTCCAACAGAGGTAACCCCCAGGTGGAGAGACCACTTCTGCCCCTTGGGCTGACGCAGCCCCTGTTGCATTCACCCCTTCACTGGCCCTGAGGCTCCTGGGAGTTATGTGGGTGCCCCAGCACTGGGAGCGCCCATCCCACCCTGACAGGGCCTGGTCCTTCCCACACCCCCCGCCACGTGGAGCGATGAAAAGCCACGGGTGGTGCTTAACCTCCCACTGCCCATGCCAACCCTCTTCCCCAGGGTCCCAACACCCACAGCCTCAAGAAACGGCCGTTTTCCCTTGTGGTTCCCATGACAATTCCCTTAGCCACTCTTTCCCCCCAGACCTCCCCAACCGCCCCAGGACTACCTCAGTCATACCACCCCCCCCCCCAGGCCTCCTTAAGCACCTCAGGGCTCCCCTTAACCACCTTCTCCCATTCCCCTCAGGACCCCCTCAATCATTCCCCCCCCGATTCTCCTCAGGGCCTCCCTAACCCCATCAGGTCCCCATTCTCTCTCCCCCGCTTTCATCTCAGCCTCTCCCGTTACCCTCAGACCCCCTCTCTCCCCTCAGGCGAGGCGGGCCGGGGATCACCTTGCAGGCTGCAGGGCTGAGGGGGAAGGTCTCGCAGTAATTGTGGCGGGTCCAGTCCAGCGAGTCCTTCAGCTCGGGCCGGGCGCTGCGCTTCGCCTCACGGATCCGTTTCTTACTCTTATGATTCATGTTGGCGGCGCTAGGGGCCGCCTCCCGCCGCCGCCGTACCGCGGGCTCGGCCCCGCTCCCGACCCCGCTCGCCCCGGCGCAACCGCCGCACCTTCGAGAAATTTCACCCGCTTGCCGCCGCTGTCGCCGCGGCTCCGCCCACGCCGCCCTCCCATTGGCTCCCTGCCCCTCCGACTTCCGCTACGCCTGGCCCGCCCGCTGACGCTGATTGGCTGAGGCGGGGAAGCGGCGCTAAGCCGCCATGTTGGTGTTGCGGAAGGCATGAACGGAGCGTGGGCCCCCGGCGCCCTTGGCCTCGCTGCCGGTGGGATCGCCCCAGGACCCCACCCTTCCCCCGGGCCGCTTCTTCCCCGCGCTCAGCGCCCGCTGCTTCCCTGATAGCTGCGAGCCGGCCGCGTGTCCGCAGCTCATGCGGGACTCGCGGTTCCCCTCGCGGCACCGGCCCGCGGGCCCAGCGGCGCGGGTTTAACCGCGACCCGCGGGGGGGGGGGGGGGGGGGGGGGGGGGGGCGGAAGCTGCGCGCTGAGGGACCCGCCCGCCGCCATCCTGTGACGCTGCCGATTGGTCCGCGCCGCCTGTCGCTACGACGTGTCCGCCCCTGATTGGACATGGAGGAGCCGGATCAGCAGCAGCGGGCCCGCGTGCGGCGGTACCGCTTCACGGCGGGGCGGGAGGCGCTGGTGCTGCGCGTGCCTGAGGTAGCGCGCGGCCCGGGGTAACGCGGGGCGGCGGGGCCCGGCCCGGCCCTCAGCGCCGCGCACGGTGTGTTTCAGGTGCCGGACTCGCAATACGGCACGTACGTGTGGCCCTGCGCCGTGGTGCTGGCCCAGTACCTGTGGGCCCGCAGGGGAAGCCTTCCCGGGAAGCGGGTGCTGGAGGTACGCGCCCCTCATCCCTCGCGGTCCCTCTTGTTCCCCCCATTCCCGCTCCATGCCCCCGCTTTGGTTGCAGGTGGGAGCGGGTGTGAGCCTGCCTGGTGTCCTGGCTGCCAAGTGCGGGGCTGAGGTGACGCTGTCGGACAGCGAGGAGCTGCCGCGGTGCCTGCAGAGCTGCCGGAGGAGCTGCCTACTGAATGGGCTGGCCCAGGTCCCTGTCCTGGGGCTCACCTGGGGGCGCATATCCCCGGAGCTGCTCTCTCTTCCGCCTGTAGACATCATTTTAGGATCGGATATCTTTTTTGACCCCAAAGGTATGTTAATCCTCTCGGGCATCTTTGATTTGTGACAGACTGCAAGGACTTTGCATCCACGTGGTAGTGGGAACACTGTCAAGAGAGCAGGTGTCAGCCTTGATGGTGACACTTGTGCTATTAGCTTGTTATTCTTGAGGTAATTGAGTATTAAGCTGTTATAAATACCACCAAAGGGTGGGGTGTGGAAAAAGGAGTTATAGACTCACCGCTCAAGGCCATCTTCTAAGGTCCCTATCAACTTCCAATTGCCATTTCATATAGCCAGGCATATTTAACCATACCTAGAACCCAGAGACTAACCAAGACTGCTTCATCTTCCCAAACTACACAGACTTTGAAGATATTTTAACTACAGTTTACTTCTTGCTGGAAAAGAACCCACATGCTCAATTCTGGACTACTTACCAAGTCCGAAGGTAAATACTTTTGTGCATTTAAGATTCAAATCTCAATTCCTGGGCCCCATCTCAGCTCTTAAGGAGTGTTAACTTCCCTGAGGCACCACTGCACCCATTCCAGAGCTTCTCAAGACTGTCCATCAGGCTGCTATTAGCCAAATCATAGGGCGACTAGCCAAAACCAGCCCAAGATCATGATCATCCAAGAACCACCAATTTGCTGTTGACTAGAAAGTTGTTACCACCTTTGTTTTGTGAAGTGCTGTAATTAAGTTTGGTGACACTGCTGTAATTACCCAGCAGTTACAAACTGGGATTGTTTTCACACACTGGTATTTCCTCCCCTCAGTGCTGACTGGTCTATCGAAGCTTTGCTCTACAAATGGAAACTGAGGAGCAGTCCCATTCCCTTGCACTCCTTTGGAGCAGACAAAGAGCACTTGGCCAGCTCTTCCCTACCAGGAAGACATACCATTGAAATGATGATCATCTCACTAGCACAAGCAGATAGTACTTAAGTTTATTCCACTTGTTTCCAATACAAAATGATACTGAACTGGGAACTGTGTGTTGTAGCACAGACCAGCAGAAAAGAGTCCTGTTTATAGCAAACCTCATGCATATTTGGTGGGAAGCAGATCCCTTTAAGTAATCCTTAAAACATGCAATGTAAAAATAAAGCTGTTTGATTGTTCAGCTATGGCTTGAGATTTGTGCTCCTCCCCAAAGACCGTTGCATAGTTCAAAGACTCAATGTCATTTTGTGCGCCACAGTACAACAGAGCAGAACCACCTGACAAGCCAGAAGAGCCAACCTGAACTCACAACTTCAGCTATGAGGAAGAGTTAGCCATACTCTTTCAGTATTAGAGTCAGATCTGTTTCCCAAGATGGAGGCTTCTCCCAGGAGATCCACATACAAAACCCAGCCCCTTTGTTTTTAAATGACTCAGTCTGGTCATGCAGCCCTGGAACATACAAACTCCTCCGTTTGTAGAAAAGTACTTTTAATCCTCAATCAAGCCAGATTGCAAGTATTCAGATGTTTCCATTCCCATTTAACATACATGCATAGAAGTTAACAAAGCATTACAGTAACCCTTGACACACGATGGTTTAAGTTACAATTCATTTGGTATCCAAATCAAGAAACAGAAATCATCATTGTAAGATTAGCTACCGCCAAGCAGCAGCCTGTGGCATCAGGGCAAGTACACAGCAAATGTAGTTAGTACTGCTCAGTGTCTACCTTCATAACATCCAACAGACCTGTCTGGTTTGGGGTTTGGACTCTGGTATGCACCACTTGCCATACAATGTCTGGGTTAGTCACAATACTGGTTAAAGTTTGCCCTTAGTAATTTAAAAGCCACCCCAGTAGATAAAGTTTGTAGCGGTAGGACGCATTCAGTTACTACAGAGAAGTTAAAACATTGTCAGTGGAATTGGAGAAATCTTTCAAAGCTAAAAATAAGCTGACTCAGACATTAAGTTGAGAAAAGTTAACACAGAAAAAATGTTTAATATTAACTACAGAGACAGTGGGTATAGTACAGAATGTCTTAAGCAAAAGATACACCAATCAGTACTTACAAAGGAATGAACCATTTTTTGTCTTAACATTACATTTCTCGTATATATAAGTTCATATATGTAGGTTGGTAAAGTTTTACCATTCTGGAAAAAATAAGGTGTGTATATCATCAGCTAGATGTGCTCACTGTATGCTCCATTATTTATACGCAAGGCCCGGGTGACTGGAAGTGCAGTTGTCAGGCATTTTAATTAACTGGACAGCCATTTGTTTCTGCACGACAAGGCATCGTTACACAGGAGCAATCAGGAGAAAACAGGAAACAGCCAAGCACTCTGCACTGCAACACGCCACCTTAACAGCTAACCAGCATTACTCAACTGCTACACAACTGCGCCTAGTGCACAAAAATACATAAGAGAAGAGATTAGAATTGAGGCTGATAAAACAATCCTTTTCAAATATTAACTGTCACCTGAAAAGATTTCTATCAATTTGAATTTAAAGATACTATTTAAAGTCAAAGTAATAATAATTAAAAAAAAAAAAAGCATTTACAGTTAAGTTTCAAATTGAAGTCTGGCAGGGTTTTATTTAAGGAATGAAGACAAAATTGAAAGTAGTTTTTGACAAGAGTTAGCTACTCAGCATGTAATGGCTGCCCGTTTCCTCAGTATGAAACTGGAGGCAGCAAGTTACCATCAGTTTTAATTTGAAATAGAAGTCAGCACTATATAAACAAAAATGAAGTTTTACCTCAAATATCCAAGCCAATAATGAAATCGGTAGTCGTTCACTTCACTAAATTACAAGAAATTTGAATAACAGCAACAAAATGGCACATAAAATGTAAAATCTGCCACTTGAGGCGCAACTTAAACAAGTAAAAAGTTAGACAAAATGTTACAAAATAACCTTTTCATCAGCTGGTTGCTCGGGCCAGGGCTCTCCAAGGGACTGAAGACTCAAGCGATCCTTTCCCCCCAAAGGCGTCCTTTATGGAAGCTCTCATTTATGTGATGCATCTAGGTTTGAAGAAAGAAAAGTTCAGCCAGGTTTCTACCTTGTCTCTCTTGATTGTGGGGATGACTTCAGGTATACTCCTAGTTGTGTTTCAACTGGCTTTGCCTAATTTAATTAAGCTTTAGGAATTTCCATAGTGCTCCACCTCCCCCCCCAAATGTGTTGCTTTACTTCAGAGGCCAAATGCAAGGTTCTGTATCAGAATATGTAGTTACAAAGAAGAGTAAGCATCAGGCTGGAGATCAAGCCACCATTAACTTCAATTCAGCCTGTTCAACAATAGATTATGAAAAGTTATATAAAAGTTATAAAACTAGTATTTCTTAAAGACTTAACTAAACTCTAAGTAGCATTCAAAACACAAAAGGTGACTAATTTTGCTACAGTTATCTAACTTCAATTCTAGCTTAGGCCCTTTCCTTTCAAAAACAGGACCAAACAGTTTGAAGGGTTAAAGACACACTATCCTTTCCCCACCCGGTGTGTATCCTTAGATGCCTCTTCAAGATGTCAACTTGAGGAAAAAACCTAGTTTCCGTGGTTTTCTCGTTGCAATTTGCCACTTTTCTAGAACAGTTATTACCTCCAGTCAGTTTAACGGCCACTGAACCGATCTTCCGTTATAAAAGGATAGTGTATCTTTAACAGTTAAAGACAAACCTGCTCCAATACACGCCCACAGAAACTGGTCCCTGGAGGATCAGCCAAATCAGTTAAAATCTGCAATACTGGCCAATATTCTTTTAGCAAACAGGAGACCGCAGCTTTAAAGGGGAAAATGCAGATGTTGGATAAATACAGTAAGAAATAGTCATTTTTCATCATAGGTTGCGTCTCATACAATATTTTATTAAAACCAAGCCATTAATCTCTCAATAAAACATTTTCTCTGTTTAAAAAGAAAATCCATGTAGAAAGCCCTTTGGTATTAATTTCCCTAAACCAATAACCAAAAAAGCACTGCTCAAGAAAATAAAAACCAACTAACAATGTGCCCCGTTAGGATCCACTTGCTTCAGGCTATTAATACTCTACAAACTACCCAACACCCCACCTAAGTACTATAATAAAGTAACATGCAACATATGCTGACCCTGAGATACATTACCATGTTCCTAGGAGGATACAGCTCCTTCTTCTTCCGGAGACTTAGGAGGGCTCTTAGATCTGGATCTAGAATTGGATTCCCTCTTTGAGGCTGGGGGAGGGCTTCTAGATCTGGACCGGGATCTAGACCTGGACCGGGATCTGGAGACAGATGAGGACTTTGATTTGGATCTCCTGGCAGACCTGGACTTGGAGGTGGAGCGAGACCGAGAGCGTGTGCGAGACCGGGATTTGGATCGACTGTAACGGGACCGACTGCGGGATCTAGAGCGGCTCCTGCTTCTAGATCGGCTGCGACGGCGTCTTCTAGGGCTGAAACACACCAGGAGGGGGAGGAAAGAAAGGCACGTTAGAAGTTGAACAGGGGCGGCGCAACAGACTCCAACGACTACTTCAGGACAGGGAGGGCGGAACGGGACCCACGTGGGCAAGAAAATGAGTGTTCCGAGGGCGCCATTGTTCGGAGTGAGTGGCCGGGGGCTAAATCTACTACAGCGCAAACCCCTTCCGCTCCGAGGAAACTCCATGTGCCTTCCCTACTAAACCCCAACTCCCCGCTCCAAACCCCGCCCCGAAAGTCACTCGGAAAAGGACACAGACCCAAGGGCCCGCACCACACAGCCACACGCCCGAGGCCCGTCTAAACTGCTGAAACTCCGCACCCCTCCCGGCGCTCACCTGCGGCTGCGGCGGCCGTAGCCGCTGCTCCCGTAGCGGCGCGGCGGCGGGCCCCGCCGGCTATGGTGCGAGTCAGGGGGACGGCCGTAACGGGCCATCTGCACTCGGAGCTCGCGGCCGTCCAGCACGGCCCCGTCCATGGCATCCATGGCATCTTCGGCATCGCGTTTGTCGTGGAAACGAACGAAGGCGAAGCCGCGGCTCTCCTTGGTGTAGCGGTCCCGCGGGATGTAGACGTCGCCCACACGGCCGTACTTCTCGAAGACCCTCCGGAGCGTGTCCGGGGAAGTACGGTAGGTCAGGTTGTCCACCTTGAGGGACGTCATGCCCTCCACGTCCGGCGGCGGACGCCCGTAACTCATGGCGGGCAACAGCCCCCGGGGGGCGGCGGCGGCTGAGGAGAAGAAACCCGAGGAAAGGGAAGAGGGAGCGCCTTACGAGACGGCGCGGCCCTCAGAGGGAAGCGCCTCACACCGGAGGGGGGGCGCCGGAGCGGCGGCCTAGAAGAGTCCAGAAAGGAGAAGAGGTGCAGGGCATAGGGCAACGCCGCAAGGTCCTCAGCGAAGAGGGAGGCGCAGGCACCCACCTCGTTGCTCGGGGCGGGGGCAGAGCAGGCGGCCTAAGGCCGGAGCGGAGGCGCGGCGCCAACAGCGGCCGCCCCTACCCGCCGCTGGGAGGAAATGAGCGGGCGCCGCCCGCGCGCGAGTACTTAGCGCCACAAAATGGCCGCCGGCGACCCGGAAGTGAAAGCGCCCGCCCCGTGGCCGCCTCCCTCCCCGAGCCCCGTTTTCGTTTTCCTTATTATTATTATTGTTCGTTTCTTTTTTCACTGCCGGCCGCGGATCCCGGAGGAGCGCAAGCGGGAAAGCGGCTGCTAAATTAATAACTCTCCCGTTGTTCAAAGTGATCGTTGAGGCGGCTCCGCCGTTGACCCGGAAGGGCTCGGCGGAGGCGGGGAAATTTTGAACAATGTGCTCTGAAAACGGTAAAAAATAAATAAATAAATAAAAAATTAATCTAAAATCCTAACGGAAACAGGGCGGGGGCTGGGGGAGGGGAGGGGCGGGGAACGCCGCCGGGCGGAAAGGGAAAGTAGCGATCCCGAAGGGGATGGGCCCTCGCGCGGGTGGGCGGGGAGGCGGCTCAAAATGGCGGAGCGCTGTGAGGGGAGGCAGGCTGGAGCGGTGGGGCGGGTGCTGTGAGGGCAGGCGGGCTGTGGTCTTGAGGGGCAGGCAGTGCGCCTCGTGGGGTGTTCTTCACCTCCTGCCCACAGCGGTGCCTGGGGAGGCCGCCTCGGTCCGTGCGGCGCTGGATGTGGGCTGTGGTGCGGTGGTAGAGCCCTCCTTGCGAGGCGATCTCCCGCGGCTGCACCCGTCTGTGTCCGGGAGCTGCGAGTCGAGCTGGGAAACGTCAGCTACCCTCATGTACACACCGTGTGCTCTGCGGGGCTGTGCTTTGTTGAAGTGGGAACAAGGGAGATTAGCACAGCCCTTGTGTAAAAGTGACAGATTCAGAGTTTTGTAGGGAATAACGTGAGAGCTTCCCCCTCCCAAAAAGGTGTTGCTGAGTGACTACAGACACTGAATCAAATTTCCAGGCTCCAAATGTAAATTCTAATACCTGGTTCTTCTCTTAAAACAGTAAGTGTGTCTATCCATCTGTTCCGTAGTACTGTGTTAAGAATAGAGAGAGACAATAGTGATTGTCTCTGTGACAGTGAAACAGTGAAAACAGTGAAAACAGTGAAATGATAGCATTAACAATGAGAAAACAAACTCAGAATTTAAATCCTCCTCCTTGCTGCAATCGCGTTTAATATTTTTTGCACTGAAGTATAAAAATAAGCAGTGACATCGACAGAAACCCGGAAGCAACAGGAAGTCAAATAAACTGGTACTGATTTTCACACTCTGCATTGCTTTGTGCTGTATTTGTTCTGGTTTTTCCCAGATAATTTTGCTTTAAAATTGTAATTCGTCTGCTCAAATGTGAAGTTTCTCTTTACAATGATTTCCCTAAAGTGACGGAGAGGGTTTCCTGTGTCCCTTCTTCCCCAGGTTCAGTCACTTCAATACAAGCTGTTACCAAAAGGATTGCTCCAGCGCACCAGCCCAGTTTGCTGTGCAGGCAGATGAATCCTTATGGTGGCACAAGGGGAAGAGGCATGAGTGGGACACAGAGCCCAGAGGATGTTAAAAGGCTGGTACTATAAATTCATAGTGTAAAAAAGGAAGAAGAGAGCTTTGCTTGTGTTAAACACCTCCCCACACACACCTTGATAGTCTAATAGGAGGCCCAACAGGGCAGACAGAAGACAGTGACAGTGAAAAGCAGCCATTCCATGTGATCGAGCCTCTGTTGGCTTTTAACAGAGATGTTCACAAGTTAAAGTTCAATTGCTCTGAAGTTTATTATTTAGAAACAATGTGAAGTGTAATAGTAAGGGCATGTAATTGATAATTATAATGCTGTTCCTTGAGATAAGGCAGTGAAAGATTATGAAGACTCTCTTCTATCCTGAGTCACTGGGAGGATGACAGAAGCACCATGGAGAGCTTGTGTGCTGGTGGCACTGAGATACGTGGTTTTTCCAAGGTGGGATCATTTCCCCTTTGGAATAACTCTGTGTGGATTCAGTGGATTAAACCGTTGTCTTAGATGATTTCCTGAGGCTTTTCTTGCATTGCCAGGTGTTATTTAGTGGATAGAGATTACAAGTCTGAGACAAGTACAAATCATTTTATGTTAAGGATTAGCAGATTACCACCCCTTTAAGTAGCAAAAGTATACTTCATAAAACTGCATTTCCCAGAGTGCACACAGGCTGGGTCAGCTGATGTAGATTGGGAAATGTTCCTTATTTCCTGTCCAACATGCATGGAAATGACTCCCGTGGACGAATGTCTCATCTTTTCTTTGTCAGGTGATTTAGAGGCTGTGTTCTGGAATTCGGATTTCAAGCAATGGCAAGCAACTGAGCTGATGAACTAGCTTGATACCTTGGAAACTTCTTCATCTGGGGGAAGGTGATGTCATGAAGGAGTGACACCCTGCAGTCTGCTCTGTTAACTCCATGGGAAAAGGTAGAGAATGTGGGTCTTTACCCTTTGTGCCAGACTTTTCTTTGGTGTTTGCTTTTCAAGTTACTGATTTTACTGTACAATATTGAAGAGCTGGTTGATGGTTATGTCCTAACAGCTGATAAGTAGCCCGCAGTAATCATCATTTTTTAAGCTTTCTTGTTTTTTCTTTTATTCCTTTTGCTTGTTTGTTTTTAACAGCAGTTAAGAGGAAACTTTTAAAGGAAAAGAGACTTTCCAGACTGAAGCTGAGGCCTTGGCAAGAAAACACAAGATGTCTCCTGAATCCAAAAAGCTTTCCAACATCATTATCTTGGGAGTCTCATTTATGCTTATATTCACTGCTTTCCAAACCTGTGGAAATATTGCGGTAGGTGTGGATTTCAAAACATGGCAAGTTTTCTATCACAGTTATTCATCCTTCATTGCCTTTTGTGTACTCTAAGAGGTACTTTACGTGGCATTTCTTAGTGTGGAAGACACCTTGACGTTTTATCTCTATTGGTTCTGTGTTAACTAGATGAAGTTGGTGAACTGGATAATTAAGCAGTTTAAGATAGCAGAGCTACACATGGTACTGTGCCTGATTGCTTAGAAAGGAGAAAATTAATCTTACCAAATGTTTGCTGTTTAAAATAGTGTCTGTTTTGACACTTGAACAATTGAATTGCATGAGACTTGTCATATTTCTGATTATTCCATATAGTCTCTTTCAAAATATTTGCCGAAGTTGTTATTATTAACTATGCCCTTGAGTGTTTTTCCTAATCTAAATGTATTTTTCTGTTCTAACAAACTAGATATTGAGGGGGAGTATGAGGATAACATTTGACAAGGAGTCAGACTTCCATAATTGCTACAACTGCCAAGTCACCATCTGAAAAAGTAATTTACTGCTTTAGTAGTGTGTATCTCTTTGTGTGCTGAAGCAAAATTGAGCATAACAATCCAAATTTACCATTAAAAGCAGATTGCACTCTAACTGCTTGCAGTTTTAGAATCCTGCTACTGATATACTCAGTCCAGATCCTCTAACTTACGGAGCTGTCAACGTTGCTTTCAGTATTAGTAATGTGCCTGAAGGACAGTTAGATTTCAACATATCTCTTGAGCCTACTGGTCTTGCAGCTTCTCTTTTCTTGTGTGCAAGAAGAATCCTTCCTGGGTTCAGACGTATAAATGTCCTTCACTGCTTTATAGGAGTAACTACTTTAGAATGGTTTTTGTAAGTGTCATTTTCAGCATGACACTGGATGTCAGTACAGCCCAGGAATCTGAGAAGTTCTGCAGTGAATTGAGAGCACCTCACTAAATTACACCCAGTGATCATGCAATCATGTAATTTATAGTCATTAAAGTCATTCCAGGTGACTTTCAATCAGATCTGCCCACCAAGCCAACTGATTCTGTGGTCTCATGATCATTAAATGCTGATTCAAGGGAAAAAAATAGGAACAGGGAAATAACAGGAAACCAGAAAGAACGGAAACTCTAATCAGAAGCTCAGAGTTAGGCCAAATGGAGAGTATTTTGAAACTTCTCCTTTTTTCCCACTTTTTAAATTAAGATAGTCATACAAATCTACCTTAGAGAGGCGTTCGGTGAAACAAAACTTCTGTGAAATATTTTAAGGTCTCTGATGAAATCATGATATACTGGTTACTACTACAAACGTTTTCCTGCCAAGTATCTCCTTCACCTTCATTGTGGAGGTGGTGTGAGTTGTAATTAACACTTTAAGTACTTTGTAGAGTCTATTAATGATCAATTCTAATGTTTGATACTGACTTCAAACTGATGCAAGTGTTCTCAGACTACAAGATATATTCTAGCATATGACAATGTATGATTTTCTCCTCACAGCAAACTGTTATCACAAATTTAAACAGCACGGACTTCCATGGCAGTGGCTACACAAGGTAATTTACACAGATCTTACTTTGCTCCTTGCAGGGTGAAGGCAGTTATAATGCCATCTGGTAGAGATATATTCTCAAGAGATTGTAGCATTCTGCTGACTTTGAAATTTAGTGACATACTCAAAGGAGTTTTAAACAGGCTTCTCACATTCACGCCAGCTCTACTTTGAATTACTTCTAGTTGAACTACAGATCTGTTTTGCATGTTCTCTTTCTAGGGAGAAAACCCACCATATGGTCATCACATTGTCAGCATTTTGTCTTAGGAGAGGAAGAATGTGGAAGTTTTAAAATAAATAAAACTGCTCACTAAGCCCTGCTTGTTTGCCTTTAGAATCATAGAATCAGAAACAACCAGGTTGGAAATAATCTTTAAGATCATCAAGTCCAGCCGTTCCCCAGCACTGCCAAGGCCACCACTAACCCGTGGCACTGGGGCCTTGTCTACACAGTGTATGAACACTTGCAGGGAGGGTGACTCGAGCCCTGCCCTGGGCAGCCTGTTCCAATGCCTGAGCACCCTTTGGGGAAAGAATTGTTCCTCAGCTCCATCTAAACCTCCCATGGTGGAGGTCAAGGCCATTTCCTCTTGTCTGATCACTTGTTACTTGGGAGAAGAGACCTTTGTGTAGGATAGGTGGCATGGATAAGCTTCCAGGAGATACGGGAACATAAACATTAAAGATGCAGTCAGAAATGAGAAGCAAAGCCACGAGAAGCTGTTCTGTGTTATTGCACTGGCACATTCAAACTTGTCAAGCGTGAGCAGGGACCTTTTGTATCCCAGATTAACTGGTCATGTAGGAGAACCTGGTTGCTGCTTTGAGGGTTATTATCTTCTTTTAAACTAAAAATATAGTTGGCAGAAAATATATAAATTTTCTGTGGTGTATTTGGCAGAGCATAAAAACCTCACTGAGAGACAAGTGAGGCTCTGAAACATTCTCCTCTAGAAGTCCTAGGCACAAAGTACAGTAACTATTGTTGAAGCACAGTGTGACAAATGCATATTGTAAATTATTATGCTTGCATGCAATAGTCTATTCAGCAATCCAAGAAACACTCCCATACAGAGTGCAGTGGATGAAAGTAACAAAAGAAAGGAAGGAAAAGTTTGACCATGAAGGTTATGCAGTTACGTAAGTTGCGTATGTACTTAACTTGATGTTTTGGAATCAAGTGAACATTCCTAAATCAGTTGCACTTATATCCTATGTTTTAAGTACTTACTCATCTTTGTTTATTTTTGTAGCATGTCCATCATTTATGGAGTATTCTCTGCATCAAATCTTATCTCACCCTCAGTGGTTGCAATAGTAGAACCTCAGCTCTCCATGGTTGTTAGTGGTGTATTTTATAGGTAAGTATTACTTTTGAATTTTTATCTGCTTCCTCTTAAATGATTCTTTGTCTTTTTGACATCTAAGGCTACCATGCCATACATGACATTGTCCTGGCTAAGCAAAGCACCTGGGAGAGATACTGTTTCTATCAGTAGATGTGTAATTGCCCAGTTACTGGAAACAGTGTATTTTTCCTCCAGCATTTCCAGACTTTGGAGTTCAGGTGTGGTCTCAAGGTAGTGACTAGAAAATAAAATTCTACATGCCTAGTGGAGTAAAGATTCCCTTTTTTCACATACAACCTAAGCTAAGTGAGCTATCTGATTGTTCAAAAGCAGTGTTCACTTGTCTGTATGCAATAAACTGATCTGTTCTATTCTAGCCTATACATTGCAGTTTTTATCCAACCTACAACATGGGCTTTCTACACTGCTTCTGTTTTTATTGGGATTGCAGCTGCTGGTAAGTGTTGTTCTTACCCTGCTTACTGTAAGCTATATTTGCTATATTTGAATATACCTGTAAAACATTTTTATTACTTGAGCAATATATTCCATCTCTTCCAGTCCTGTGGACAGCACAGGGAAATTGCTTGACTGTAAATTCAGATGAAAACACCATTGGAAGGAACAGTGGAGTATTTTGGGCTCTCTTACAGTCCAGGTAAGCTTTATTTGTGACTCTTTATTTGGTTGTGTACACATTCTGCTTTTTACATTTTTTTGGTAAGTGGAGACTGCATTAAAAAACACTCTGCTGGTACCTTATAGTCAGTGAATCACAGAATGGTTTGGGTTGGAAAGGACCGTAACATCACCTACTTCCAGCCCCAAGCTGGAGGGAGAGGTGAAAGGAACATTTCTATTGCTATTGTGCATTATAGAACAGTGAATGAAAGTTACATAGTGCAAACTTCTGCTCTCAATGTGCTATTTCTGTTAGGGGAACATTGACAAATGTGACACAAATCTTGTTGATTGTGAGGGCTGTGCTAATTAGTGTTAGTACCCTGATTGCTCTAATTAGCCCTGAACCATCTCACCTGGCACGTCCACCACACCCTTCCCATCTGCCCATGGGCCAGGGACCCCATTTAAACTCAGTTCTGGGCACCCAGTTCTTCTGGAGCTGTGTTGCAGGGGACTGGGTTTCCAGCTCACCTGTAGCCTTATATGTGCCTGGCAGTGGGTCTTGCTGTTCTGGTCTATAGGCTGTTTTCTTATTTTGGGTTTGCTCTGTCTTCTCACTGTGAAACTATGTGTGAATTGCTGGACCTGACTCTGGTCTGTGGGCTGACTTCCTAGCTTGACCCTCAGACCTGCCTTAGTAGCATGAGCTTCTATGGTGGTCAAGGCTTTAATTGACCCTGCTTACAGTCTTTGGGTCTGCCCTGCTTGCCTTGCTTGAGAACTGTGGGGCTGGGCTCTAGCTGCTGAGGTGCTTTCTTTGCTGGATGTTTTATCCCTTTGACTTTTACCCTCCTTTTCCCTGAGGCAGCAGCCAGACCTTGCTGCTTACTGACAAGGTGAAGATAGTGAAGTTGGACCTGTCAGTCAGAAAAGAGATCTTGTTGTTGATAGTACTCTGATAAGCTTGAGTGCTGTTGCAACAAAAAAAGTCTTGGCATCAAGAAAGGTAGTGGGTGCTGTATTGCTGCCATTGAATATTTTGTGTGGATATAGTTTATGGTTCTTGTGTAATGCATTTAGGGTATGGGGGAAATAAAAACATGCAAGAAGGTAGAGTTGCTGACTTGAGAGGCTAAGAAGTTTGGGACTCAGCTGAGGAGGATTATGCCATGTCATCAGAACATGGAGGTTTTCAGCAAGTGAGCTGAAAGTAGAACTGTTGCTCACTAAATGCTGCTGCACTAGAACTCAGGTGGCTTGGTGAAACCAGAAGAGGACAGGCTTGAAACAGGTAAGATGCTACTTTATACAGTGGGTGATTAAACTCTTACAGCTTGTTGTCACAGGAAAGTGTAGAGTTGGATGGTGTCAGCAAGATCAAAAAGGGATCAAACAAATTTACTGGCAATAGGTCCAAAAATGGTTCCTGAAGAGAGAGACCTTCTACCACCTCTAATACAGCAGTTCTGGATAGTGGGAGATGAGGAGAGGAATGAATTGCTGAAGGTGCTGAGGCTTTTGAGTCTGTACTAGAGGTCATTGATAGTGTCTCGACCCGTGGCATGCTACTTCTGTTCCCCGAGTTTCAGGTTCCATAATTAACCTATCAGTCTGTTATCAGGGTAGCAATTTCCACAAACCCAAGTAGTTGTGTGTTTTACAGTGAGTAAAATGCCTGGCTTTATATGAGGAAACTTGACTCTGGGGCTGTTTTGAATCGCTGTTTATTCAGAGTTATTAGATTTTAGGAAACACTAGGTAGGAACACAGAATTTCCTTTGAGCTGTTAACACCAGTGTTGGAGCAATTCTTCAGTACTCTTCCAAGGAAGTGTTACATTGCCTCCAGAAACATGTCCACTTTCTAACCTATACCCTTCAAAAATGAGACACAGGCAACATAGATGCAGATTGCCTAACTTATGCTACCACTTGGGTCTTGATGGCTAGAAATGAAGAGCCAACGTTACAGGGAAGAATCCTCTGCTGCGTTTGAAGTTTTGTATAGAGTAAGTAGTTTGCATGGAGAGGGATTAGTGTCTTTATTTCTTTCACAGTGGCACAGTACCTTTTTTTCATAGTATTAGTATTATTGTGATGCTACACCCTTAATCTTACCACAGAAAGTCCTGTTCACCTTTGTCCTTTTTGTTTACAGCTTGTTTTTTGGAAACATGTATATATACTTTGCTTGGCAAGGAAAAACTCACATATCAGGTGGGTACTGCTTGCTTATATGGGAGGCCATCCTTTAAAACATGGTAGCATGTTTAAGTAAGGAACTGGAAAGTGGCAAGAAACTTACTCAATAGCAGACTTTTCCCCCCCCTAATTTATTGTAAAGCTCTTTTTGGAGTATGCTTTTCATTTAGTGTTCCATGGTACTCCCAGCCCTTGTATTATGTATGTTATTTTTCTACATGCAGTACACTTTGAGTACCTTCCTTTAGGGTACTGTCTGTGAAAGTCTTCACAATGCTAATTTAGAATAAGGTTTTCCACAATAGCTATTCTGGGATTTTCCTTGCACAGACATGCTCATGCCAAATTACACATTTTGTAGAATCATAGGATGGTTGGGGTTGAGAGGGACCATAAGGTCACCTAGTTCCAACCCCCTGCTGCGGGCAGGGACACCTCACACTAGACTCTGTTTGCCCAAGGCTCCGTCCAACCTGGCCTTGAATGCTTCCAAGGATGGAGCACTTAACACTTCTCTGGGCACCCACCATCCTCACAGGAAAGAACTTCCTTATATCCAGCCTGAACTTCCCCTGTTTAAGGCCATTAACCCTTGTCCTGTCGTTACATTTCCTGATGAAAAGTCCCTCTCTGGCATCCAAAATAGAAATAAAAAGAAGGAAACATTCATGATGAAAGATAGCTAAGTTAGGCAGAAAATATTTTGGGGGAAAGGTATTCTGGAATGGCTGTTTTTTTAATATGTATATGATCCTATTACAAAGGAGATTCCTAGTATAGACTGAAATTGATTAGACTGTAACATAAAGGAAAAGAAAGGAAAGCTATCCCAGTTCACAGTTGCACTAACCACTGTGGTGGTGCAAAGTAGTGTAGGAAGACAGAGGTTGAGATATGCAGCTGCACTGAGAGTGGGCTGCTGCTGCTTAAACTGGCAGTGTTGCTGGTGGAGTGTTTAAGAACTTGGTCTTCCTTTCTTGGCATAATCTGTGAAGACTAATTCCTGATGGAATTGTAAAGAGCAGGACTTTATATGCTTAAGAAGCTGGATAGCTGTTTGGACTCAGTGGTTTTAAAGCAGAGATCTATGGCAACTGTTTAAGTAAGCAAGGCAAGTAGGTGGGGGTATCCACTAAGAAAACAGAGCAAAATCTAAGATTGTAATTATAAAAACTGAACACTGATGGAAAAAACCAAACATTTTGTAAACAAATAGGGTTGATTCCTGTGCTGTAATAACTGTGAGAGTTTTCCTTATTGTAGTCTTGAAGTCAAATGTCTACTGGAGGTGTCAATTCCTTTTAACATCTAAAAGATCAGGATACTTCTGCTCTAGTCAATCAGGAATAACATGTTGCCTTTTAAATGATGATTATTAGCCTTCAGAAGTACTGCCCTGTTGAGATGAATAATCTGCTCCATGCTGCTGTTAGATCTGACTTCAGGCTCTCCACAGGCACAGGCTTGGTAGCACAGCACAGGTTGATTTTTGAAGATAATGTTCCATGTTCCTTCATCTCTAACAAAAAGGTTTAAGTGTTATTGAAAGTACTGGAAACACTTTGAACCTGGTGGGCCTGAAATTCCCTGTGTTCCAAATTTCATTGCTCTTGCTAACCACAGAATAGAGCAGTTAACTATGAGGGAGTTCTGCTCTTACATTTTCCTCTACCTTTAAATGTCTTGAGACTCCTCTTTATTACAAAATGTTGATACTGGAAGGTTTGATGGTGTTTAAAATCAATCCCTCCTTCCTTTTACAACCTGTAGAAAATATTACAGGCATTTCAAGGTGAAGCCCATATTCACATTTTGTCCTGTAATCGTACACAGGTTATATTTGTAGCAATTTTACCTTTACCTTTAAGCTAAAGGGGAATTAAATAGAAGTGTAGACAATATCTTCAGAACCATACACTAGTTCAGTCACTATTAGCTGTTTCTTGGTTTTTTTTTTATTTCCTCTGCTTAAAATTTGTAAATGGGAGTGACTTCTGCATTGTGCTAAACAAGTGGCGAGTGCAGCAGTTACCTTCCTCTAGATGCACATCACATGCTGTATTAGTTACTGAGGTTTTGGTGGGTTTAAGGCCTTTGTAATTTACAAGCCTTAGCAGTTCCTGATGTTATGGCACTAATATTTCTGGTGCTGCTAAAGAGCTTTTCTAGAAACCTGAAGGGGTTTGGAGTAGTTTGCTATGTCCACTCTGAATTATGTAAGTCTTGAAAGATGTACTTCCTTCTGCTAATAATTTATGCATTCCTCCTTAGTCATACTCTTTGCATGGCAGAAAATGCCAGTGACACTCTTTAGTATGCTGATATTTTATTAGCATCATAAAACTGAGACAAATTTTCCAGCAGCTGGGTACCTTGTGCTCCTACCTTGTGGAAGGTAGGTTAGAAAATGAGTATGCATTTTAAACAGCTCTGGAGTATGTCTGTATTAGTTCTTTAAGGTATTTGAATTGCTTTTGCACATCTAGTTATGTCTTGTTTGTTTTTCCACAGAGAGTGATCGCAGAACTGTCTTCATTGCTCTGACTGTTATCAGTCTTGTGGGCACAGTTCTGTTCTTTCTGATTAGGAAACAAGAGGACACAAAAGCTCCAGGGGAGGAAAATTCTACTAATGAAATCCCAGGGGACAGCTCGTAAGTACTTGTGGCAAGAACATGTTGTTACTTTTGTGCTCCTAGTCCTCACTGGAGCATCATGCATTTAGTTTCCCCTGTACACTGGAAACATGAATGTTGTGAACAACCTGAACTTTTTAGATTTGATAGAATAGTGTCTGTACTTCAATAAGTGAGAATGAGTGTTCTTTATATGATGTATTGTCAAGGGTGGAGTGCAGTACTGCACATTGCTTTTCCAGTAAGTGCATGCCTTTGGAAAGCTACCTTTTACCTCTAATTATTATTGAACATGTATCTGCCTTTTTTATTGAACATGTATCTGCCTTTCATAGTCTGTCTTCTACTCGTTAACCCAGTTTAAAGACTGGAATCATCAGAAAACCCTTTTTATGGGTTATCCTTAACATATTGAAATATGCTTTTCATATGTTCTCTAAATATATATATGTCACCCTAAGCATAATAAATACACTAGAAACACACAGGTACACAGGTAGCTTCAGTACAGCTTTGCCCAAAGCATCAGTTTAAGTTTTTTTGATTTATTTAAAGAACAATGAAAATGTTAGAAAAAGATTAGTAAATATGCCTGTGAAAAAATGGTTAAAGCTGTAAAAAGCTCAGAAGAAAGGTGCTGTTAAGCAGGTTAATTTTGGAATGGCATTCACTAGCACAGAAATAGTTGGTTTTTGTTAATAGTTTAGATTCTCAGAAATATTTAATAATATAATAGCATATTCCAGTATATAGTGCTGGGCTAGAAAGTATACAGGAAATTGGAACAATTGATCTGCCTTCCAGCATAGCAAGACTGTGGTTATTCTTTTTCCATTTTGACCAAGTCATTTATTTGCCCAGGTCTGCACAAAACAAAATGACAAGAGCACTGGCTGCCTTCAGTAAGTACTGTTCCGCATAAGAGTTGCTTTGAAACACACTGACATGTCCTTTCCAGCTCTCCATCATTCTGCTGATAATGTGATCATGTACTAATCACTTAGAGGACAAAATTGTAAACAAATAAGGTGTCAAGAATGCATTTCAGTTATTCCCTTTGAATATAGACCTTCAGGGATGGAAGAATGACTGCCAGATAATAATATCTTTCAGACTGGAGATGACAGTTCCCATAGGTACACAGGGCTGATGAGCTTTAAGCCTCAGAGGAATTGAGTTGTCTACGTGATCATTTGGGATTTTGAGCCTAGACGAAATGGGCCTTGCAACTGGAAAAGCCTGGGAACCACCAAACTCCTTTCAGGTCACAGTATCATACGAACAGATGACTGAAAGAGAGGAAGTGAAGTAGGCTTCACTTCAGTTACGTACTAGTATAGTCTTGGAGAAATTTGGAGGGGTACTTCTTTGTAAAGTAGCTTGGATCTGAAACTAAATCAACGGCTTCCTTATATATGAGCTTCTTTATAACAACTGCTTTATATTTGTGCTCATATAGATGAGCACAAAAAGAACTTGAAACCTTAAAAAGAAAGAAGAACTTTACTACCAAGATAAAGAAGTGGTTACATACTGTTTTATTTAGTCACCAAATGAACTCTAACAAGAATTTGAACTGGAGCACCTGCAGTTTCCACTGGAGCTTGATGTGCTCTGCATGTGACTGTTAAGCTTGTTTTGAGAACACAGGATCATCACTGAGAATTTATGTATCATTTTAGGAGACAATTGCCATGGACTGAGTACAAATACACAATGAACAGAAAATTGTATGCTCATTGAAAGCTGTGTATCCTGTGTTCAGCATTTCCCTCCTTGATTTCCTTACAAAACAAAGATTTCAGATCACAGCGTATCTTTTAGAAGGCAGATCAGGGTCAGTTTTAGCTCTCTGTTCAATGAAGTCATAGTTTGCAGAATTTTAACCTGATTTTGCTTTAAGCAAAGCACAGAAGAAAGTGTAATATTCTCAGTGCTATCAGAAGTTATTAATTTCCATTATTATGTCTTTACAGAGAAATCTATAAAGCTGAGCTTCACCAAAGAAATTATGCTGCTCAGTGTTACAACAGCATACACAGGTATGGAGCAAACAGAGTGTGTAATGTAGTAATGTCAGGGCATTGTTCGGAATGTTAACCCCAGGGCAGGTTTGCAGTTCCATATCTCTGCAAACATTACTTGAATATTTCAGTTAACTTTGAATAAGTTACAACATTCCTGTGTTCTGAAAAACATTTCTGTACAGGAGGAGGGGTGCACAAAGACTGCAAGTACTGACAGATGTTGTAACTCTTGGCTCAGTACAGCTCTGGGTCCCAAATTGAGGGTTAGGCAAAATGGCTATCAATATCAATAGGCTGTAGATTGTTCAATGCAGTTGCATTGGAATTAAAGTAATGCTTGTATGTTTTAATTTTTGTCACCTTCATTAAGGCATGGGAGATTTCTAACAGCTTTTGGTTTAGTCTTGGTTCTGTTGGGGAAAATTTAGCCATTTTCAACTCTTTTTGTCATTAATATTTGCTGTGGCCAAGGCTCTCCTTAGTAACTTCTAGTTAATCCTGGTCTGCCATTGTTAGACCAAGATATGAATTGTAAACCAAATAACATTATTTTTGCTGTATAGAAGTGGTTCTTCCACAGAAATACTCTTAAAATATTCAAAATGTAACTGAGATCTTTTAATGATTTTTTTTTGGGGGGGCTTCTTGCTACTTATTTGGCTTCAGAAATAGTTTTGTTCATGACCAAATTAAGTTTTAGGGAGAATAGATACACTCAGAACCTCAGTTCTGAGTCACTGTTATGGAAAATTGTTGTTAGCTCTTGTAGGTGAAAAGAAAAACTTAGATGTGAACAGACTCTAAACAGTGCCACAACATCTGCTGAAGTTTGCAGTCAGCTTCTGGTAGAGAAATAGTGGTGGGAGCTATGAAGTCAGTTCGTACTAGCCACTTTACTGAGTTACATGTTGCTTCACGGCATCTCCAGTGTTGTGTTAACCCAGTTTAACTAACTTGAATTCCTCTTGTAGCACAGTGGGGATGTGAGCCAAGTAACAAGGGGAGGCGTTCAGGCAGGTTTGGCCTGATTAATCCTAAATTTGAGTTTACAGGTAGCAGGAAAAAAGCAATCCAGCTGCTGCCACCTGGTGGCTCCTGGTCAGTATTGCCACTTTAGTAGGAAAATACAAAATCCTATCAATCGTAGAATCAGGTTGGAAAAGACCTTTAAGATCATAAAGTCCAACCGCTCCCCAGCACTGCCAAGGCTACCGCTAAACCATGTTCCTGAGGGTATCTACATGGATTTTGAGCACGTTATCACTTACTCCTTGGGAGCAGAGATCAGGCCCCTGCTGGCTCCATCCTCCTTTCAGGTAGCTGTAGAGGGTGATAAGGTGCCCCCTGAACGTTCTCTTCTCGAGACTAAACCCCCCAAGGTTCCTCATTCATTCGTCATCACACTTCTGCTCTGAATCACAAAAGCTTTTATTAACAAAAGTTGATGGTTATATTATTAAGACTGCTCAAAGTTTACCCTTTTTGAAGCTCTTAAGTTCCTGTGCCATACAGGTAGCCTGGACTATATATATATGTGTAAATGGTGTACTATATATTTGCAGTAGCAAAAGGCAAAGGAGGTAAATCATAAACAGTTTTATTTTGAGCTATTTTTCTTTGTTTAGGCATAAGTTTGCATTGTTTTAAATACACTTTTTATTAAAGAAACAGGTATTTTTATACTGATGGTTGCTTATAGTCATGCAAGTTGGACTCAGCTTTGTCACCTTTCCTCACAGTAATGGCAATAAAACCGAGTATTTTAAGCAGCAGTTCTTTCTCAGATTTTATTCATTATGTATGTATAGAAAAGCAGCACAGTCCATTTTAGGAAACTTAGCTCCTAATTAGTATTTGGGATGTGGGGACTTTCGTAGGACTGCTGTAACCTGGGGGGGGAATTCTTACACTGAAATTGTTTTCTTTCTTCCATTACTTTAAGTGTTACTTTACATGGCACTTGGATGAAATTCCAAAGTTCTTGAAATGCAGAAGTACAAACTAGCTAGAGGGTTGTGCCACAGCAACAGCACTGACCCAAAGTGCCTGTGACATTAGTTAGTGATGTTGTTCTTTCTGCTATGGTTTTTCTAAGCTCATAGGAGAATATCATATTACATAGTTTAAAATTCCCTGTTGAATTCTCTTTCACATACCTCTTTTAAATATATTTACATGAAAGACACTGTAGAGAAAACCAGACTTTAGACATAAAGATTTGTCATTACTTTGGTAATGGTTCATTTATTATTTGCTTGGTTTCCTTCAAAGGTGTGGAATTAACCTTCTTTTCTGGAGTATATGGGACGTGCATTGGTGCTGTGAATAGGTTTGGCAATGAAGCAAAAAGCCTTATTGGGCTCTCTGGTATTTTTATTGGTGTTGGAGAAATTTTGGGTGAGTCTATATTTATTGCCTTGTACACAAAAAAGGATTAAGATGATATAGTTATTCAAAGTGTGGGGGGTTATATTTAAACAGTGTCTTTCAAGCTTCCAGCAATGTGTATGTGAACAAAACCTGAAATAATAGGAGCAAAATGGGCAATGTGGCTCCTTATTGCACTGTGAATTACACGTCACGCTTTGTAAAGTGGTTCTGGTGTAGGAGGTGACATATTGAATCCTAAGAGTCTGCATTTTTTGGATTAGCACAAATCATAGAGTCCCAGACTGGTTTGGGCTGGAAAGGACCTTAAGATTATCCAGTTCCAATCCCTGCCATGGGCAGGGACACCTTCCACTAGAGCAGCTTGCTCCAAGCCCCTGTGTCCAGCCTGGCCTTGAACACTGCCAGGGATGGGGCAGCCACAGCTTCTCTGGGCACCCTGTGCCAGTGTCTCAGCACCCTCACAGGGAAGAGCTTCTGCCTTACATCTAACCTGAACTTCCCCTGTTTCAGTTTGAGCCCATCACCCCTTGTCCTCATGCTACAGTCCCTGATGTAGAGTACCCCAGCATCCTTGTAGCTCCCTTCAGACACTGGAAGCTGCTCTGAGGTCTCCATGCAGCTTCTCTCCAGGCTGAACAGCCCCAGTGTTCTCAGCCTGTCTTCATATGGGAGGTGCTCCAGCCCCTGATCTTCCTCGTGGCCCTAAAAGAAGAACAGAAATACCTAAATCTTGGCATGAGAGAAACATTGGGCTACAATGTCATTGAGGAGTTGTCAACCTTTTGATATTCTGTTTTTAAACATTATTATGTTTACTTTTTTATTAAAGTCATATTGTAACTTAATAAATTGTTGCACTAAAGATGTCTTTCTTTTAAAGAGGTTCGCTTGTGTTAAATGAGATGTAATATTTGAATAAAATTGCATTAAGTAATTGTTTTTTGCTTAAACTTAAGTACTACAATGTTTAACCAGAAACCACTGTTCACTAACAATGTGCATGCAGAGAGAGAGGTGCATGCTCTTTCAGTTAAGAGCTAAGCACTTGTCCATTGATCTTTCAGTTATCCAACATGGAGGAATTTATACTCTTAAGTTGTCAGCACTTTTTTTGCAGTATTCTAAGTTTGGTTCTATGTTTATATCTTCAGTTTTGGTTTAATTATTCAGCTTTTTCACTGCTACAGGTGGAGGAATCTTTGGTTTGCTGAGCAAGAAGAACCGCTTTGGCCGGAACCCTGTGGTGATGCTTGGCATCATTGTCCACTTCTTAGCCTTTTACTTAATTTTTTTCAACATACCAAATGATGCCCCTATTGCTCCTATGGAAGGAACAGATGATATTGCGTACATGATTCCAAGGTATGTGAACTTTTCCCTTTGGCTGCTATAACTCAATGTATATAAACAGCTTGTTCCTGTAACAAAATTCCTTGAAGCTGCTTTTCTGTGTAGTGACTAACTCCATAGAAAAAGCTTTTAGGAATTCTGTTTTTATGCAAGGTATATATTCTACCAGTGTGCATCCAATTTAGGCACTTGAATGGCATAAGAATTAAAAGCATTAGGATGTTTGATAGCAAATATATTGCTTTTGAACTGCCATTCCTGACATCTAGTCAGGACAGCCTGACTAGCGAGACCAGCAACTGTTGTATTAGATGTCAGGAATTCAGTTTATTTTAAAACAGTGTTGGGTTCAGTTGTACTACAGCAGGAGCACTGAGAAGATGTTTTTAGACACTCCATGTGGCAGCCTTGTGCTGTTGCACTGGTTTCCAAGTCTTTCAGTGCTTGTTGTCAAATCCACTTGGTCTAACTGGTGCTGTCCTATGCCTGTCTTACAGCGCTAAGTGTTAGGGGAAGGATGTAGGGAGCTTTCTTATCATTGCAACTTCCTTTTGAAGTGTTTTTTGTCAGTTTGGGTGAAAACAGTGTTGTCAGTTTGTGCAGGCACAGCTGCTAACTTGCAACTAAGCATTTAGCATCATAGAATCAATAAGGTTGGAAAAGACCTTTAAGATCATCAAGTCCAACATTTACCTCTGGACTGCTAAAGCTACCCCTAAACCATGTCAGTGTGTGGCAGTGTGGGTGACTTTTCTTTAACTGGAGTGTTTTGCTGCAGAATGAACTGGTATTTTTCTAGTATTCCTGCAGATTTTATCAACTTGCCATGTGTATATCAGCTTCTAGTCTCTGCCTTGTGGGTTTTGTGGCTCCAAGTACCAATCCGAGTTCTTTTAGTGGTTCTAATTCAGACTAAAATTGACTGCAGGTAACAGTACCAGTAGTCTTGGCATTCAAGAAACTAAAATCTGATGAAACTGTTCTTTTCTTGCCAAGCCAGGCAGTCCTAGTTCTCTTTCAGTGAGTTTTAGGTTGATAACTTCCATTCTCAGTTTCCAATTAGTCTGCCAATTAGTTTATAGATGTGTAAGCTGTTTGAATGAATGGCTTTTAAATCTGATTCACTCTCTCCTTCAGCAAAAACGTGGCCATATTCTGCAGCTTCCTGTTGGGCCTGGGAGACAGCTGCTTTAACACCCAGCTCCTCAGTATTTTAGGCTTCCTGTATTCGGAAGACAGTGCTCCTGCCTTTGCCATCTTTAAGTTTGTTCAGGTACTACTTAACAAAGCCTTTTGACAGTATGATTGTGGAATGTTATCAAAATGTTGGGTTGAGTTTTTAATGAGCTGAGAAAGAGAATGTTTCTGAACAGATTTCATCCTGAATTTTGGTATAGAATAGTTTGTAATGCTGTAAAACTGGAAGTAACTGACTGACTTCAAAGCCTTGGCTGTGTTGTTTGTAGACAAACTTTTAAAATAGCAGAGAAGTGCATTTGAGATGCTACAAGCACTTTTGAGTTTTCTGCAGTGAACACTGTTTAAATACAAGTAAAAACTAAATCTGTTGTATATCATACCAAGCCATATGTTGAGCTGTAATGAAGTTTTATGATTGCATGTCTTCCACAGAAGCATGCTACTGAGAGTTGAACATTAAACTGTATGTATCAATTTGATTCTTGTGCAGTAATACTGGATATCTCCACTGATAATCTCTTTACACTGTTTTTCCTCTCAGTCCATCTGTGCAGCAGTTGCCTATTTCTACAGCAACTACTTCCTTCTGCAGTGGCAGCTCCTCATCATGGTGGTTGTGGGCTTCTTTGGAACAATTACCTTCTTTCTGGTGGAGCGGAAAGCAGCAGCAACTCTTGCTGCCCGTGGCTCGGACTACAGCAGCATTTGATCCATATACTGTGCCTAGTCCAACGTAAGGAACAGCATGGGCACCTTTATTGTGAAGTAATGTGAGAAGGTGAAAAGATCAAGTTGCTGCAGAGTTTGGGATGAAGGAAGCTACGACTAAATCACCATCACTTTAACTGAATGGGGAACGTGAGAGAAAATGCCACATTTGAAAGGCTTTTCTTGCTTTAATCAGCTGGGTTTGGTATTTATGGTCTTAAAAAACCCAGTGTTAGAAATGGAAGGGAATGCAGCGATCTCTGGATTGAACAACTCTGGTCTGAGATGTACCTTTCAGGGTGTAATTGCCTCGTTTCATTCTGCCATGCACTACAGAATTAGTGGTTTTTTTTTCCTCCCTAAACTATTTTTCCTATATCCTGGTTCTGCAGACACTTGAATTCTTGTATTGAACAGTGATATTTTTATAGGGTACATGGTATACAGAATGTCTGTGCAGCTGAGAAATCAATTTGTCATTGACTTTGCCAACAATTAGACATGCAGAAGTATTTCTGTGGGAAATGTTGCCTTCTTATTCTGTATCATCCAGTTCCTTGTTCCCCATTTGTTTATTAATGTATTTCATGTGCTTAAATTTTATCACATCCATGTTTTGGAGGGTTTTTTGTGTGTGTTTTTGTTTTGTTTTTTTGTTTTTAAAGAAAATAGACGAGGCTGTAGTGTGATGCAAAAGATCTGAGAAGAATTTGAAGTAGTTGCCCTTAGCCACCTTAAGGATGTGTTCCTGAGAGCTGTGAAGTGTTGATAGTTGAAATGAGCCTCTTGGTTCAGCATCTCAGAATTGAACTGTGTTACTGTGTTGGGATTGCTGCTGAACCTTTCTCAGGGCAATGCTACGTGAAGGACCACAAGGCACAGCTTCGCTCCCAGACTCCCAAATCGTGCTTTTGAGTTCAGTGAAATTTTCATCACAATTGGTGATGGGAGCATTGTCTAAGGTAACTTTTTAAAGTGCAAACAGTTCAGAATGTAAGTTGCAGGAATAATCCTGCAGTGTTTGATCTACTGCATGGCCTAAAAAGACCTGAAAAACTTGATCCGAGTTGTTTCATTCAGGATATTTTTGGGAGGACTCTACTGTAATCTTATGCTGCCAGATGCAAAAGCCAGGTTACTAGCAGAGTAGCCAAGTTTTAATCCTAAATCATTACAGATGATGTAAATACAGGCAGTGAATACAGCTCACCTGGATTTTTATCTGTCTACATGACTGTAGTACTTGCAGTTATGTTTCTGTCTAGTGGGCAAACAAGATGCAACGCAAGAGCAGCTGTGGAACAGTGATAGGCTGTTTTTAGACACTCCATTGAGCTATTTGTAGAAAGGTACCATTTTCCAACCTTTTTCTGTGCACAGATCAGGATATTAATGTCTCTAATAAGATAAGTAAAAAATCAACTCGATATGTGTCAGTAGCTCCTACATGTCATAATAAAGTAGGTGTACCCAAGGTTAAGCTTAGTGAAAGGAGTATGGTATTTCTTGTGACATCAGCTGTCACTTCTGCTCTCAAAGAGCACATAACATGCGGCTCCCATGAAGCACAGCCTTCTTCATGCACAGTCAGACAGCAAAGAGGGATTATTTAACAGGCATATAGAAAGGGAATTTTAAATTCACTGCAGGCTTTTGCTGTGAGATCAGTAAGTTGTTAATGGGAGGATGAGAGGGCACCTGAACACTTGGCAAGCAATCAAATCCATGAGGACAGCCGGGAGAGAAAGCCCTTGTGTATTCACAGGAGATTTAATGAATGATGGAAAAGAGAATGAGGCAGAACACACACTTGAGCGGGGGGTTACCAGAGCCACTCCAATTTGTCAGACAAACTGGAAGAGCATTCAGTATTCAACCAATATGTATGATTAATGTGACTAGCAGCATTCTAATGCCTCTCACTGCTGTTATCCTGTAATTTGAAGCAAACTATTTTTATATACTAAGCACCATAAAAGGTATAATTGATAGGAGGCTGCCATTGATGAGAGTTCTCTTGTTGCTGCACATTTGTGTATTCTCCCAAGTAGCAAAATGGATAGCTTCCAGTATCTGCAAGGGGCTCCAAGGATGCTGGAGAGGGACTCTTCATCAGGGACTGCAGTGATAGGACAAGAGGTGATGGGTTCAAACTTCAACAGGGGTAGTTCAGGTTAAATCTAAGGAAGTTCTTTGCTGTGAAGGTGGAGAGGTGCTGGCACAGGGTGCCCAGAGAAGCTGTGGCTGCCCCATCCCTGGCAGTGTTCAAGGCCAGGTTGGACACAGGGGCTTGGAGCAAGCTGCTCTAGTGGAAGGTGTCCCTGCCTGTGGCAGGGGGTTGGAACTGAATGATCTTAAGGTTTTTTCCAACACAACCCATTCTATGGTTCTGTAGCTAGGTAGCAGCTCACAATTTGCTTTTTAAATTGATCCCTTTTAATGAAGAACTTCTGTGATGTTCATCTGCCATGTAAGAATTATGTGAACTATTTTCTTAGGTAGTTCCAAAAAGCATTTTGAGACTGAGTTTAAGAGATACTAATGAACTGAAGTTTCAGAACCTCTGCGTAGCTGATATTTTTTTCCCTTCTTCTGCTTGGTTTGACAATATCAGATAATGTTACAAGGCTGTTCAGAAGTATTTATTGGGGCATTAAAGTGAAGAAAGTAGTACTCTGTGGCAAATAGTACAAGAAATGATGGCGTTCTCAACACATGCATCAGAACAGACTTAATGATTATCCTAATGAAAATGCTTTTATATCAGCTGAGTGTCCTGGCTCTTTACAGTATGTTTTTTCATGGTCACAGCCATATAAATGAAAATGAATCAAAGAGAATGCTTTTGTTAATATGCTTGTTCAGTTGTCAGAATTGCTCTTGTCATTTTTTTAAAGTCATGTTAAGGGCTGTAGAAAAGGGAGATGCAGTTTGATGGATCTCAGAAGTGCTTTGTGGGCACCTGTGAGGACCTGCTTAGGAAGAGGAAAATGTTTGGTTTAGTGCTAAGCTGCCCTTTGGAACCACTTAATTCTAGTTGTGGTGTGGACTAGTGAAATGTCTTGGGGAAAATCAGGGTGGCTGCTTCAGTCCTAGCTGGGTTCCTTTCCTTGTCCTCTTTGAGAGCTTGTCTTAAGACTGATGCTGTTGTTGAGAGGAGAATGTCTCTGTGCCTTCAGAGGCATCAGGCTAACAGAATAGGCATAAGGCTGATGCTCTCTATTGTTGTGTTAGGGCACACAGCAGGTAGACACTAGGCAGTGTTAAACTCACCAGTACCACAAGCATTTCTGCTGTAATTGGAAGTCCTGGAGCAAATACAGTGTGAGTGAGGCTGAAAAATGAGTGTTCCAGCACTCGCATTCACATGGCATCCTTACCTCGCTGCAGAGTGAAATAGAGAAGCAATTGCGGACAAGTCTGAGTGACATTTATGGATAATTATAATTATTATACTTCATAAGAGCTTAATTCTGCAGATTCTCAGATGTGTTGGTGGGAAGTGAAGCGCTGCCCCATCGCAGTTAGTGGCAGAGGACAGTGCTTCTCATCCCTGTGGGTGTGCAGCGGCATCAGCATGGAGCAGCTCTTTGCCTGTGCTCCATGATTTGACACATAAAACATGACTGCTGGGGAAGGAAAAAGTGTTTTGCACACACTGGATTTCATTTCATGCACAAAGCAATTGGATTTACATTTTCCAAGCTGGTAAAATTATTTATGGTGTTCTACAGCAAACAAATACACCACCAGTCCCAGGGATAGGGAGAGGAGGATGACTTGAAATGCTGCAACACTGGAAGCTTCATGTTCCAGACACGCTTCCCAGATATACTGAGGGAGATCTAGGTGTGCTGTGTAATGCTATTAGTTAAGGAAAGTGCTGTTAGACTCCAGTGGAGAGGGGCTGTGACTGTCGATAGCCCTGAGGTGTTCTGAGGGACTGTTCCCCTGTGGGTTAGCCATGAGCTCCTTTGCACATGGCCATTTCCAAAGCTCCTGCCTGGCCGCCTTGCTCTAACCCCCAACTTCCCTCAGGGCTTATTTTTGAATCCAGGTCCTTGCTGTTGGTCCATGTTTGAGCTACAAAGAGGTAGCACCCCTGCGGATGGAGCTCTGGGGTGAGGACTGCATTCCTGGGGCTGTCACAAGGGCACTCAGACCTTGGGTTTTACCCACCATGATCATTATTTTTTTCCCCAAGTAAGTGCTGTATTGCTTGGATTCATGGCTGGGCTGGAGAATGGGTTCCAGGGCATAAGCTGGTTCTGCTTGGGCAGTTTTAAACATTCCAGTTTGAACCCGGGGGGGGGGGGGGAATTAAATATATATGGGTCTCATTCTGCTTTCCAGCACCAGGCTGCAGATTCACTGCAGGATCAAAGCAAAAGGATTCCAGTTTGTGAGGGAGCCAAAGGCTCTAGCTATGTGTGGCCAGGTGAGGCTGGTAACGAGCCAGGTGAGCAGCAGAGGTGAGTGTTTAAACATGCAGGAGGAAAAGAAGGGGGTTACTTTTCATATTGAGGCAACTGAGAGTTCTGGAATGATGAGGTGTGGATCAGCAGTGCTAATGAGGAACCAGCAAAGTTCAGGTTCCGCTTGTACATGCGGAGCTGGGAGCCAGGCTTGAGCAGAGCACAGGAGGAGCTCTGTGCCCCTGCTTTCACTGGCTCTTTGGCTCCCAACATGCAGTGGTGTGGCTTGGCTTTACCCTCTGTGTGTGTGTGTGTACGCCTCACTTTATTGTTAGGGGAATTAAGGGTCATGTTGCACCATTAAAAAATTCAGTTTATTTTCGGATAGTGGGCAAAGTCTGAAGGTGGAGGGTGCTCAGGCTGCAGAGGAAAGGAGTGAGAATACCCTGCTAAGCTCGAAGCAGTGCAGTTTGATGGTCAATATTTTCATGAGAGGCCATATTTAGCAAGAATTATAATGTTCCTGGGTCACTGGGTGAAGCTGTGGACTGAGAACTCACTTTGTCTTTGGTGGAATTAAAGGCTTAGGGTATCACTAATACTTACATGTGGATACTGCTCAATATTTCCTCCTGCTGTGAAATGCTGGATTTGTTTTCCTTCTACTACTAAGTTACTCCCCAGAGAAACTTCATGGGAGGTAAATAATGTAAAACAGGAGAGCTCTGATGTGGTCTGCCCAAGGCGACAGGCATCCTCAGCACTGCAGCTGGCATCAGCAGTTGGGTGCTCCCGGCTAATCCAGTTTGCAAACCTTCACACAGCACTGCCATCCTGGGAGGTGCTGGTAGCTGTGAACAGCAACTCCCCCCATTCCAAAAGCTCAACATGAGCCCTCCTGTCTGAACTTGGGTGGGAGGGTGGGAACATCTGTATGGGAGGATAAAGAGAAGTGAGTGCTGGAGGGACTCACTGGTTTGTGAAGCTGTTTGAGGACTGCAGCAGCAGAGCCTGGGGGAGGCACTGGCTTGTCCATACCTGACTTGCACCCTTGTGTTGCTGGTGTGATGGCTGATGAGAAGCAGCTGGAAAGAAAAGAGTAGGCATTTGTCCTGAGTGGAAGAAGCTGTGCAGTTCAGGGTAGCAGAGGGAAGTGTGCTGTATCTGCTTGATGGTTGGCAGAGGAAAACCTCTGCA